ACTGCCCTGAATGTTTTCCACTTGTGAATAATCTCCCTCACTATAGAATGATGGACTTTAAATTGTTTGGAAATGGTCTTATAGCCCTTCCCAGATTGATGGGCAGCAACATTGATGGTCTTCTCTACAATCATTGCTGAGGCATTTCCTTCTTGGCTTTATGTTAACACAAAATCTGAACACTCCAGACCAGCAAACTGCTAAGACTTCAGCTTTTATAGAGGTGGTCAAACTTGCTAATAATCAATTACTCAAGAGTATTTGGTTAGCAGCACCTGGCTGCTACTTAGACTCTTGATTCCTAGGGAAGCAGTAAGGGTGTACTTAGTTTTTCACACATGGCTTCTCCATTTTGGCTTTATTTTTCTAAAATACATCATGACATAGTAAAATATATACTCTGTTATTGTTCATCTGAGGATTTATTTACCTAATTTTCAGAACTGTTGAGGATCAGATCATTTTTATTATGTCCTAATACGTAAAAACATATAATTCAAAGAGCATGTGCTTTCTTTTTCACATGACTGTATTATACTAAGTCACTGATCTCTGGTTTATCTCAAAGCACAATCTAAAAAGCAGAGACTTTTTTTCAGTTAGTACAGCAAATAGCTGTTGATCACCACAGACTTCCTCATTTCTGGAGCACACAGGAAGAGCAGCAAGTGCACAGCTGCCTGAGGGGGAAAATCTAACATGAAATGACCCAATTCTAGTTGCCACATGGAAGAATAATGACCAAAACTTAGGAACGGTTTGTGGGGAAATTCTGGGAACTGTGGCCTAAAAAAAGAAAGTTCACAAGCTCTAATGTGTGAAATTCTGTGGTGAAACACATCACAACAGAATTCCATATTTTGTGTCACAACTACATAGTATCCACTTGCATTATCCAACTATATCTGATGTACAAGATTGTGACACACTAAATTTTGTGTCAGCAAAATAGATGTGTATTTCTTTACAAACATGTTTTTCCACTACAAAAACACCTTCATTAAATAACTAAGAACAACTGACCCCCAGAAAGGATGTACCATCAAACCCTTCATAAATAAATGTACAAGACAAATAAGTACATCTGTGCACTCAGATGGGCGAGAGGGGGATCACCGAAGCTACTGCTCTCTTAAGGATGTCATCACCACAGAGGTGAGCTGCTTATGTTGCAACAATGTAACTATTTACAATTGGAGTCCTTTGCTTTGAGTCATGGCTTCATGGGGTCTTCCCCCAATTCTTATCCCAGCAGGATAGTCACCCTTCAACCCTTGCCTCCCCAAATTCACAGGCCCTTTACTGGGACAGTTGAGTCACAAAGACCATGCTGGAATATCTTCCCACTTGGTCGTGTCCAACGGTCCAACCCCCGACAACCAACCGCTGTTCTGGCTCGGCCTGAAGGTTCCTCTCCAACTGCTGGAATCTCTTGAACTGGTGTTGCTACTGCCAGAGGTGGGATGGCATGGGGGTTGAAATGGGGCCTCAGGTGGCTTCAGTGCTGTCCCCCAGGCAGCTTGGCACGGACTGATGCAGAAATGTGTGACCCCAGCTAAGGTAATACTTCTAGGCCCTGGTTTGCTGGGGCTGGGCCCAGGTGATCAGGGATATAGCAAAGGTAGGAGGGCATGGCCGGGTCATAGAAGCATTCAAGCCACTTCTCATTGCCGCTCTCCTCTGTGCCACTCTTTTCCCCCAAGGCCCTCCATCTCCTCCTTTATACCTCCAGCCACACCAGGCTGCCCAAGCTCATCCTCAGATGCAGCTCCTTCTTCATTCACTGCTGCTTCCCTGGATCTCTTGGCCCACCAGAAATATTAAGAATCAAACTGATTCAAATCCCGAATTGATTTCTTAATTTAAATCATTAAAACTCATTTGGAAAAAGAAAGTTATTTAAATCAAATCCACCCTAACTGCAGCACACTACTATCTTCCACTGGCTAAAATATTTATAGCAAAGCAAATTCCACCAAGGTAAGAGAAAGGTCTGGGTATTCTGCTGTTGAAGACAATCCCAAGAGTTATAACCCTAAACAGTTACTTGGGAGTAAGTCTCATAGCATGTAATTACATTTATTTTTTTATACATTACCACACATTGAAATCGTCAATTATAAATTCATACTGGTTTTGGGGTTGTTGTTTTTTTGTACCATCCTGTTGAAGGGCTCTAGAAAATCTGAGAGCTTGCACACTTTTGTTGAATGTTAATTGGTCTGAATAAATACAGTATATTGCCTGCCTTTAGCAGTTTTGCAGTGAAGAAAAGATCTTTTGAGTACGCATACATACAATTGCCACACGAGTCTGCTATCTGCCCCACCCAGGAAGATAGTGTGGTGAATCAAAGTAACATAATGACTCCACAGAACGGAAATGTTGAATGCCAGTCACAGCGTAGAGTGAGATGATTTACCGCAGCATGTACAGTTCTTGATATAACTCTATACAGACAAATCCCTGACCCAAACAGTTTAAACATTAACAATGAACAGAGAATGCAAAGAAGAAATTGAGATGGTGGGAAGAAGGTGCCTTCAGTTCAACAATAAACTTTTAGTTGTCAAGGGAAACCCTGCATCGCCACAATACATCTGTTGTTTTATTTTTAACACTATTTCCTCCACTTTGTTCTGAGTTCAACAGGACTCAGCAATCATTCAGGCATCCAAGGGCACATACTTGCTCACACCAGCCCACCCCAAACTGTTTCCTTGCACAGCCTATTTATTGCTAGCCTTCCAACTTTTCAGATCAGGACCTGGCTTTAATTCTCTGTCCTCCAAGAAGTGCCAGAAGAGACATGGTACACAAGGACAAAAGTCAATTCTTGTCTCCTAAATGAAAAAATTACTTTGTGTTCTGGGAGAACACACTCAAAATGTATCAGACTTAACAAGAGAAACTTAGGAATCTTTTTGTAAAAGTTGTTTCTATGCTACTTCTGCTTTCTCAGAACCTTGTCAAATCAATGCCTCATTTTGACTTGGAACTGATGCCATCTCATAACCACACAGTACCTACTTTTATTTTTTTAAAACTATGTACCTCATGTTCTTTTCCCCACTTTCTTGTTACTCTCTTCATGTTCCCCAGGATTTCTGAATTAATGTACCTTCGATTTGGTGTTTACAAGTATGATGAAAACAAGATAAAATGGTGACTGCAGTATCATAACCTTCCTTCTGTTAGCCTGCAACCCGGTTCTTGCTTCTGGTCCATTACTTCAAGCCCACTAATGCCATAAGATACACAGATCTTAATCAATTAATTAATGGCATAGTTCTCAAATCTCCAAGCTAATTTCAAAGCAATTTAAGTTGCAACCTTACTCTGAGTAAGTTGCACTGAACTCAGTAGGTCTTTCTGAGCAACATGTACAACATTATACAATCTTTTTCTCACCTACTCAAAGTAAGACCCAGTGAGCTCAGCAGGAACTTAGCAAAAATGCCCAGAATTTGGCTGTTAGTGTTTCTTATTGAATCTGGCAGTTTATCTGTTTTTCAAATTTCAAGTCACCTTTTCAGATATAACAGATAAAGAACAGCACATGCCCAATAACTTTTTGCTGAATCCCAGAGACTGGAAATCAGTATGAAAGGGTTAACATAGTAAATAAATCACAATTTACGATCTTGGATTTATAGTGCATGTTTATTGGCTTAACTGTTTTTAAATTTGTAATGCTGCCCAGAGTAGACCTTTGGTCTAGATGGGTGGGATAGAAATCCAATAAAATAAAATAATAAGTTAAAACTAATGTAACTACACTTACATTGAAAGAGATTTTTAACCGTTTTCATTTTACCTTTTTTTAGACTTCACAGATTAACTTTCAGATAAAACTCATTAAGTACATACTCTTATTATGTGTCTTCAAGTCAGAACCGACTTGCTGCAACCTTAACAGGGCTTTCAAGGTGAAACATATAAGTAATAGTTTTACCAGTTTCACAACCCCATGAATTTCCATGGCTGACTGAGGAACTGAATCCAGGCTTCCCGAGTCCTAGTCCATAACTCCATCTACTACAACACCACATTGGGTATGCTTAAATAAACATATACTTGTTACTTAATTGAATCAATATTACCATGGAACAATATTTACCAATATTTATCATTTACATGTAGCACCCAGCTTTCTCCAAAGCTCTTAGGCTGTCCTTGGATCCTTCTTAGGGAAGATCTGGCTGGCTGGATAGCTCAGTATTTTAGATTATCTGGGTGTGGAGCCAGAGGTTGGGACTTCCATTCCTTCCTGTGCTTCCAGAGAGAAAAGCTGGCCTGTGTGGCCTTCAGCAAGGTGTACAGTCACATGACGTACCCAGAAGAAGGGAAGGGTAAACCACTTCTGAGTACTCCCCACCTTGAAAACCCTAAAAAGGGTCACCATAAGACCTGACTTGACAGCACATAAGGGAAGATCAGACCGAGACAGAGGAATTAGGTTAAAATCATCTGTAGTGTGTTATATGGTTCTCTTGGAACTGGAGTGTCTTGGGAGTTAGTGAACAGCGCTGCTTGTAGGCAACCTGTGAAGAGTCTCCATACCCTTTCACAACTTCTACTTTTCCTGACTTAAGAAAGAATACCATCCTAAGGGTAATACTAACTTCATTCTGAAGAATGTAACAATACAAACTTAGGTCAATCACTTTCGTTTTAAAAAAGGAAACAGATTGCTTCTTTCCGTTAGCAAACTTGCAGCCCAGAACTTAATTGACTTAATACATCAGCTCGTATCGCTAGCAATTTTTATGCAGTACATCCCGAACTAGGCTGCCTTCTGAGAAGGTTAAAAAAAAAAAGAGCGTCAACCCTTCCCACTGTCTTGTTGGCTAAATAAATAAATACCAATACCGGGAAGACTTGCACGGTCTCCCCTCCACCCCCAACGCCTCATCATCCGTTTTGCAATATTCAAACCCGTCCTCCTTCAGGCTACATCACACGATTCTGCATTTCAATGTAAGCGAAGTAAATCGAACCTGGTCCAGAGTGATGCCCAAGAAATCGCTAAGCGGGAGCAACAGGGTAGACCCTGTGGTCCTATAGGGAATCCTGGCCTCTTCTGCCATCCTCCATGCCTTCCCTTCCCCTCTTCTCTGCAACGGGAGGCAGCAGCGCCGGGTCAAGCAGAAGCGTACACAGACTTACACACCCGCGACACGTGCGCCTCAGAGCAACGTCACGGCTTGGGCGGGGAAGGTTCTGCCTCTCGCCCGGCCTCTGATTGGCTGCTCCCGAATTTCTCTTCCTCATTCGCAAAGGACTCGCTATCCCTCACCCCGGCAACGCCTTTCTTTCACCCAAAGAGAGGGAAAACGACGCCTCTGGGCGCGAGCGGGCGCGAGCGGGGGCGGCTTGTTAGTCTGGATTGAGCGCCTCGGGTGCGGTGGCGGGAGTGGCGTGCGGTCCGTTGCGTCTCTGCAGACGCAACGGGCTAGGTGGGGAAGGCAGGCCTTCGACAAAGACCTAATTGTTTTTTTTTAAGGACCGGTTTCGCGCTGGAACCCGTTTCTGTGCCACAGGCTAAGTGCCCTGCCTTCGAGTCACTTGGTTGTGGCCGTGGGAGGTCCAGGACACTCGACACTTGGAGAAAGGCAGTCTTTTTCTTTGGGTCTACTCAGGCGCAAAATCCCAGGCCCTAGAAATCGGCCCTGGTGGTGATTTCTGAGCCAGGTTGAACTCCAGAGCGCCGCACGCACGTGTCAAAGAATAATGAACGGGGCCTCTGAGCATGTGCTGAGTATTCCTCAAGCACGCTATGCCGAATCTTCCTCCGCCTCTCGACACTCATGCCGGTGCATGCTTGAGTTTGTGAAACTTGATTTTTTTCCCCCAGAAATAAAACGAGTGTACAAAGACAAAGTCTCCTGTTTCTGTGGATGTCTGCATTCCTTTATGCGCCCGCCTAAATCTTGACTAGAGGGGAAATACGGGCTGATGCTGGAGATTCAGGGCCTGAGCAAATTTTTATTTTATTTTATTGCCACCCCGGAGTTAGTTCCGGTCTACTAGACTTCAGGTACTGAAGTAGCCCTTCATCAGCCACTCTTTTGCAAACTACTGTAGTTCTTTTGCAAACTGATAACTTCACCCGGAAAATGAGGTTCTACTATAAACGCTATAGTGAAAATTATGTGGAAAAAAACAGCCAACTAAAGATAATAAATAACAGCAGTAGTGATTCGCTTTAAATTACAGCACATTTCTCTGGAAACATTCCTTTGAGGATTACAGTGGGGTCTTGACTTGAGAACTTAATCCATATTGGAAGGCGGTTCTCAAGTCAAAAAGTCTGTAAGTCAAGTCTCCATTGACCTACAGTGCATTGAAAACCGATTAATCCCGTAACAGGCCGTTTTTGTTCCATTTTGGTTTTTTTCTGGTCTGTAAGTCAATTCTCAGGCTGCAAGTCAAACCTAAATTTTGCGGCCAGAGAAGTCTGTAACTCAAAAAGTCTGTAAGTCAAGCCGTCTGTAAGTCAAGGGTCCACTGTATGATATAAATTAGGCAAGAGATATATATTTTTCAGATGAAGGGGAATGCATATACTGTACCACTGAGCTAGTATATAGCTGCTGCTACCTTAGTGACATGCAATATATACAGTATTCCCCTTCATCTGAAAAAAAGCAGTTTTCCAGATGTTGGCCTGTGCTTCCCATTATTTCAAAACATTGAATATGCTGGCTAGAACTGTAGGGAGTCATAACTGAATTTCTTGGAGGGCCATATGTTCTGGCCATCCAAATGTTTTTTAGCCTCCAACTTGCATTGCCTTAAGAGTTGCCTGACCTTTGCCCAAGAAAGCTAAACTTCCTTCTCTAAAAATCTCAGCTACAAAGAATACAATGGAATTCCATATTCCAGAAAAGTAACTCATCTTTATTAAAAACATGTTTTAGTAAAATATTTTTAATCTGTCTTTTCAACTTGTGGGCTCAAGTTGTCGTACAATTCAAAAATTTAAAGTAGAGTAATTAATTATGTAACAAGATTAACAAAATGGAGCCACTAAAAAGGTCCAAGTGAAGTCGAGCTTTAGGAGCAAAACCTACAGCAGTGAGAACAGCAAAGATAAATGCTATCTGAACCAAGATAGCGTAACCTTCATTTGGTGGTTAAATGTTAAGTGTAGGTGTCTATTTCTAAAGGCAAACTTCCATTACAGAAAAAGCCTTGTCCACAGTTGCCACCAAAGTAACTTCTGAATGTGTTCTAGAAAAGTTTAACTTCTGAAGGCTTAGGCAACCAGGGCAAGACCTCAGTGAGTAGGTGGATTTGTATGCAAGAAAGGAGCCCTCTGAATTAGCAGGCTCTTTAGGCTCTGAAGTGTAGAGTGTTATAGGGCAATCCCAAGCAAGTGAGGAGGAAAGAAGCATATGCTTCCTAGGGGCCCAGAAATCTGGGGGAGAGGACAGGCTGCAGTCCCATTTTGTGGTGAAAAGCAAGGTTAAATAAATATTAGTTCATGCTCAAGAGTATTTACGGAAACATATTTTCCTGTATCGACCATACCTGTCATCCAAATCTTAAGGATTTACTGGAGCCAAGCAGCACTAATGCAGAACAAACAACGTTCTGAATATAGAGTTACTGGACTGAATCCTTCTTTAGAACAGAGTAGTCTAATTCTCTGCATGGGAGGATTCTGAGGCTGGAATCTTAATTGAGGACTTATGTCAACATGTCCTTTGGTGTAAATTTCAGCAGCAAATTGACACTAGCTAAGAAGTCAAACAACTGGTGTGCAGCACCAATTGCCTATGTGAACTTCTTAACTAGTAGCAAATTGCCACAGAGGTTTATGCCATTGGACTCACACGTACAGTATGTATAAGCAATAGGATTCCAGCCACAGTTTTATTATGCATGGGCAGGGAGGAATAACAGCCAATAGGTAAGACACTGAGCTATAATAATTGGGGAGACTAACATCAGCAAAAGTGAGAATCATGCTGCTCCTGTCATCTACAGGTGATAAATGTGTGGAAAAATGTCTGGGTTTCATATATTGTATAGATTCTTCTGAGAATTTTTGCCTATGCACTGTTGTATCTGGGAGATTTTTTTTCTCTTGGAAAAGAATATAGATTGGCCCACTTATTCAATAAGACAAACATTTGGTTTTCAATTGGATTTGCATAGTTATACATTTTTAAAACTTGTGTGTGTGTGGGGGGGTTGTTTGGGTTTTTTGTGTGGTTTTTTGTGTTGTTGGGGTTTTGGGTTTTTTTTTGTACATTCCCAGTGATTGTGTGAGAAACTAAAAAAAGTTTCAGCTAACTCATTAACTACTGTAGTACGTAGAAATTCTACATAGGAACCATGTGGCCCCCTGGGAGGTCCTGGCACATTTGAAGGGGGCCACAGACTGAAAAATGTGAGAAGTGGATTTTCTATTCATCAGTTCCTGTTGTATCCTTGTTTAATAGGGGCCCCTGGAACCTGATAAGAGCTTCTAAAGGGCCACGGCCAAAAACAGGTTGCGATTGGCTGGATTTTGTCTAACAAGGGCGAACTTGCAAGGTAAATTGAGTGCAGGAAGATGGATTTTGTAGTTTAAAGAAGACAGAAAAGTAAAGCTCTAAAGAAAATAGGTCTAATTGTAAAATGTTTGCAGATGCATCAGTATATTAGGATTTTAAAAAATCATTAAGAAAGGATGATATATATAGACTAACCAAAAAGCTGCAAAATATTTAATAAGCTTTGTAAGACTGTTCTTCAGGCTAGATGTTCTACTCAGCATGATAGAAAAAATAATGTTAAAGAACTGAAAAGCCTTAATTTAGATCCTGATTATTAAAAAATTAGTTTGTTTTACTAAATCATCTGAAACTGGTAGATGGTGCTTTGTGCCATCAGTCCTACTACTATGTAGTCAAAAGTACTGTAAATGTAAAAGTATACTCACATACTAAGGCAGCTTCTTTAGTTCTGTGCTTCTTACAAGTGACATTTCAGCAGTTTTACTACTGTGAATATATTGTTTGTCTTCTCGTTTCACATAGGTAAAAGGTAGCCATTTTCTTGTTTTGGTTTGTTCTTGTAACTGTATCATCAAGGTGCTTTTGACTTAATGGCATCCCTAAGGACTCCTCCTCATAGGCCCTGTCATTTACAACCCTGCTCAACTCTTGCAAAATCAAGGCCATGGCTTCCTTTCTTCAGTCGATGCACCTTATGTTTGGTCCACCTTTTTTCCTGATGCCATCAATTTTCCTAGCATTGTTGTCTTTTTCAGTGGGTCTTGTATTCTCATAATATACTCATATTACAATATCCTCATTTTAGCCATTTTTGCTTCTAGGGAAGAGTTCATGTTTGTTTCTTTAGGTTTAATTAATGTTTTTAAATAATTGCTGTACATTGTAGCAATAGATGGTCGGTGCATGAAAATTGCCATTTAGTTTTATATTTTCTTGTAATTTAAAAAATGGGTATGAATCTGCAGTCTGTCCTGGAAAATGACATTTCTTTCTTACAATCCTTGGGTTCCAAGTCAGTATTTGCTTACAGACAGCCATCTACCCTAAGATTGTGCACCAGCAGCAACACAGACTTTGTAAAACAGACACATCAAACACAGGAACTAGGCCCTGTTGGAAAGCATGTGGCAACTGTTTTCCTATGTCTCCTCTAGGAACACTATTACAAGCCCTACTAATTTCACACACAACAAGATACCTTTCATCTTCCAGTGCTGCCACCATTTGCAAGCACTGATCTATTGCTTTCTGGATTTTCTTGTCTTTTCCACTTTTGTGTTTTCCATTTCTCAGAGTGGCATTTGTTTTTTTCTTTAATATTTGTACATTTATTGCCCTTTGCTTTTATTGCCTTTTAATAACGTTAGCTGCCTTGTTATATTCATTGTTCTTAGCTTTAAATATTGTTAAATGTTAAATTCATTAATGAATTGTTAAATTCATGAATGTTGTTTAATGAATTCACCAGTGTGTATTATTTTCAAATGTGCAATACATTGTTGTATACAGTGGGGTCTTGACTTAAGAACGGCTTGAGTTAAGAACATTTTGACTTAAGAACCACTCTCATAGGAAAATATTGACTTGACTTACATACTTAGATTTGAGTTAAGAACTGAAAATAAACCACGTGGGAGGCAGGGAAAGTGCAAAATTTGCACTTTCAGTTAACTGTTGG